ATTCCGCAACAAGGACGCTTCCTTTGTTCTTCTTTTGTGCTTTCATTTTCTTTGATTGCTTCGACAAAATTTTACCATGTTTAAATACTTGTCTATGGAATTCAGCAACAGTTTGGCCTCGCAATGTCCGACCTGAATGTTCCGACTGCCCCTTAATCATTATCGAAATGTTTTTGGTACAAAAAACTATTGAAAATTTATAAGTTTTGGTTAACATCAAAAAACAGGTATAGGCCAACAAGCCGAAGGGCTAACAAACCGAAATTAGGATTTCCATTCCAACAAGCCGAAAATGAATATTTCTATGCATCATAACAACAAATTGTCATTGTTGTTATGCAATTGTTACGTAATTCTTATGTAATTTACTTTATTTTGATGTAATTTCGGCTTCAAGATAAGGCGGTTTGTAAGCATGGCGGTTTGTTGATTATGTGCCCAAAAATCATGAGTGAAAATTTGAGGTGTACGAAATTAATACGATCATTTTGTTTGCCGCCACAGTTAGTTGCCGCCTCAAATGGAACGTTTTTATTGTGCGATATAATTCACCTCGCATAAATAATTCGCGTGACGTTTTGTCAGCATTGAGAATAAAAGTTTCAAAGCGCACATAATTTAGACCATTTTCAAACTTCCAGTACTTTACAAAAAATAGTTGGAGGTAAAACATCTTTTTAAGTTTGAACTCAGGGAATCAATATCTTCAATGGTTTATGAAAAACGTTTGTTCAAAACTATTTTTTCGATCGCCACACCAAACATAAATATCCCGTTTTCTGCGAAAGTCGGAACAAAAAATGAAAACAATATCACAAAAAGCTTAAAAAAAAGAAATCAAGAAAACCGGTATTATTTTGAAAAGTTTTCAATATTCGATCTTCGAAAAAATTATACACCCGATTGAGCTGTTTGAATCTTAAGCAGTTTTTTCAATCGCCTTTTCATTTCGAAAAACGAACTCAATTAAAAAACCAGGTTTACGAAGGAAAGCCTTAATTTGAGATAGTGTCTGGAAACTGAGCATTCCTTGCGCGACTGCTTTTGAAAACCTGGCTTCCGATTCATCCAATGAATCGGCATGTTTGGAAGCGTGGACTGCAGTTTCTTTGTATGCGTTGCATAATTCTTCATCACACTTGAGCTCACTTGTTAGCAGCCACATTCGAAACTTGTACAGAAAGGCTGTAACCTCAGAACCTCGCAGGAACTGATTCCCAATTTGCATCCAGAATTGATCTGGAGATACTTTTAGCAAATACTCACAGTTCCAGGAGCTTCCTAAATACAAGATGCTGTATCCAATTGCTTAATTGTGGAAAAAAGCAACAAAGAGTGCTTAAGAAGAAAAATTATCAGTTCAAGTTTCGCAAAAATGTTCTGCATGACAAAAGGCATATTTTCAAAAGCAATAAAATTAAATTAGTTTTGACTAGAAATTGGTGAAGCATAATGTAGTACCGGGTACAAATTAATAGTTAATCATCTTAATTAATCATTAGTTGCCTTTGCGCGCGACCTTAATGGTCAGACAGTGCGCGTTTTATTTGTGGCACCGTGTTGAACTACTTGATAAACTTGAGCTTAGTTATCTTTTGAATTACGTACTCCTACAATTTCTGGAGCATCTGAGAAGTTGTTTAAATTTCTCGGTGCCGCCAAAGAAAACTAGTTATCATGGTTTGTATATTTCTGGGACCGACCATCCGAGGATCTGACAGTCCCATATGACGATGGGTCACATTTGTTTCAAGCTTCAAGTTTGAGTTATTGGTAAAGTTATTTTGTATGTTCAGCTGTTGCTTTTGGAACCAAAATCGGGAGCGAACCCATATGAAACGGGGAAGCGAATGTGGATAAATTTACGAGGTAAGCAAAAAAATTGAATAGAGAAAATTGGGGGGGGGGCATGCGATTTGGTTAATGGTTATAGCTTTGAAGGCTAAATGGAAGCTGGGGTTTTGCATGTATTCTTTTTTACTACAAAGAGTCCTGAAAAACAGCGAAACCTGGAAACATGTAGCCCAGTGAGCTCGGGAGTACAAAATGACTGAGGATAGAGTAGACGTAGTTAGCAACCGAAAATCAGCGTCGCTAAAAAGTTATGTAATAGAAGGAGTTGGATTCGCAAGAGTGAGAAAACTTTAGTTCTTTTCAAACTCTGATTCTTTATTTCAAAATCATTGGTTTGTGTCGTGCAAGATCGGCGGTAAACAAAAAAATTCGGTCAAGGAAGTAAGCCGCGCAGACATATTGAAAAAAACTGCGGTCATGACTAAACCTAGACTATTAATATGTGTTCCCAATGAGGCACAGCGTGCAATCTGTTTAGCAAAAGGGAAGGAAATTTCGCTAACTTCTACAAGAAATTGATATCGAATTCGTTAATTCAATTACCGAATTCGATATCAATACAGAGGATTACCGAATTCGATATCAATACAGCAAATTTGACTGGGAGGTCATGGGAGAAAGTAGAGGGATGGGATGTTTGATAAGGAACGTAAAAACGTTGATGAAGGCGGTAAGGGGAGAGAATAATGAACTACTCAACGGAGATACAGACGGGTTGCAAAATTTCAATTTCAACTATTAGTGTCAAATTAATCTTCACGAAAAGAAAACTCACTAGAGGTTCAAAAATGAAATCTGTAACGCTTGAACAGAAGGATGCATATCTCAACGCGACGCGAAAAGTCAACCCGTCGGACAAACAACAAGGTGAATTTCTTACTTAAACAGGACCACGGCGACAAATTACCAAGAACAAAGCTACTTCAAAGATGGGTGTGGTTACCATCAAAAAGTTGGTGTTAAATCCTACCAGAGAAATTGACCAGGCAATTAGGTGCATCGTAATAAAAAGGTAGGATCACGATAAAGAAAATCCAGAGGAGGTGAAGAACGTATTTTTTTTCATTAAAACGTTCCGCATTAATTCTGAAGTTTTTTGTTTTCATTATCAAACTGGTATCATCTGCAAAATGATTAGCTTGTTGTTCCGACTTTCGATAAGAAAGTAACGGAATATTTGTGCTCGGGGTGGGTTTTTTTTTCTTCAGACAAATTTCGACTTTTTAACTAGCAATTTTTTTTATCATTCGAAAGGTATTGTTGTCCTGAGCTCAAATTTGAAAAGATATTTCACCTGTGATCATTTTTCGTAAAGTTACGGGGGCTTAAAGATTTCAATTTTGGCCAATTTGGGACAATTAACGCGCGATATATTTTGCGCTATTAACGCGTAAGCGGAGAGTTAATCCGTCTTAGAAATCGTTCCAAATTGGTTAAAAGAAGCTTATTTGCCAAAATTGGTTTGTTAAACAGAGCGAAATCTATCCTATTGTACTTTATATGGCGTGTGGGGGATGATTTTCAAAAAAAAATTCAAATTTTAGAAATTTTTTTTTTTCATTTTGTTTTATTTCATTGAATTTTTTAAATGTTATTACTGCTCCATAAACCTTAAAAGGCAGTCGGAACATTCAGGGCTTCGCCCTGATACGAGTAGTCTTGTTTTTATTATTTAAGACTGACTGAAATCATTGACATAGAGGACGAAGACTATTGGTCCAAGAACTGTCTCTTGTGGCACTCCATGATTCAAAACTTCAGGTTCGATTCTTGTTTTTGTCAAATATACTGCCTGTTGGTTTTTTCGGAAATTTTTTGAAAAGGATTGTAGCCGTTTTTGAGAAACCCATTTGTTCAATTTTTTGTCGGAACTTTTGTGAGATATTGAGTTGAAGATTGAGTAAGATTCGAAAAAATTGCAGTCAATGTTTAATTGCAACAATTGAATTACAGTATTTCCATGCATCGTATTTGAAATTTTGTCGAATACCTCCTTTTCTAGTTAGTTTGGTAATAAGGATCTCTCATAAATTTAAGCAAATTTTGGCGTCAAGGAATATGCCGTTTATTTTCCCCCACACTGTCATTTCCTTTATTGTAAATTGATTTCATGTACGCTTTTTTCAGCTCATCCGGAAATATATTCGACTCAATGCATTCATTTTTACGAGCTGCATGTGTTTATTCATTGAAAATTTTGAATATTTAAAGCTCCAAGATGATTCATAACCAGTAGTTTTTTTATTTAGCAAACTATCAAATGACTGAAGTATTTTTTTTTCTGGCAACTGGCCTGAATTTCGAGTTTTTCCTAACAGGGAATTGGTTAAACCCTTGAATAAAATTTCTGCTTTGTGTTTTCCAAGGTCTGCAAACGCTCGATTTAAAGTATTTGCTACATCAATGTGATTTGTTAGTTTTTTGCCGGAAGGAGACTTTGAAGAAACTATTTTAGTACACATTCCAATTTTTGAATTAGTATTGTTCTATTGTTTTTTGGTATATCAGTTTGATTTTTGTTCCGACTTTCGATACGAAAGTAACGGAATATTTGTGCTCGGGGTGGGTTTTTTTTTTCTTCAGACAAATTTCGACTTTTTAACTAGCCATTTTCGACGGATTTTTTTTATCATTCGAAAGGTATTGTTGTCCTGAGCCAAATTTGAAAAGATATTTCACCTGTGATCATTTTTCGTAAAGTTACGGGGGTTTAAAGATTGCCTTTTTGGTCAATTTGGGACAATTAACGCGCGATATATTTCGCGCTAAAAACGCGTAAGCGGAGAGTTAATCCGTCTTAGAAATCGTTCCAAATTGGTTAAAAGAAGCTTGTTTGCCATAATTGGTTTGTTACAAGGAGCGAAATATATCCTTTTGTACTTTGTGGGGGGGATGATTTTCATAAAAAATTTTAGAAAAAAAAAATTCATTTTGTTTTATTTCATTGAATTTTTTAATGTTATTACTGCTCCATAAACCTTAAAGGGCAGTCGGAACATTCAGGGCTTCGCCCTGATACGAGCAGTCTTGTTTAGTTTCTTGCCGGAAGGAGATTTTAAGGCACCTACTTTTATGTAGTACGCTTTCTTATTTTTTTAATAAGTTATTGTGGTAACTTTCTGTTCTGAAAAAATGTATGGTGATCATTGGGCTCTTTTTCTTTTCGCCCCACCTCACATAAGCATGGAGACGCCCGGAGTAGAGAAAACTAGCGTAGCGATGTAGAATACGCAACCTCTCCATAAATGAGAACCTATGACGCTAAACGGAGAGTTGTCCTTTTCTCTTAGATGATATAGAGTGACCCGCGAACGAAGGACATCATCTGGGATCGCAAGTGAACATAGTAGTAGTGGCTGAAAAAGCAAGTGACTCGTCATAACGCAGAAGTTTGCCAACGTAGGTGGCAAGGTTTTTGTTTTAATAAAACCAGGGACGAGAGGAACACAAAAAAGTTGATTGTGAATCGAAATAACGAGTCGGAGTTTTTGAAGATTAAAAACGAGTACCTGGACTGCATTTTGAAAAAATAAGGATTAAAAAGACAATTTGAGCTCACTTACGATCAAATATTCCCCTGTTCCGTCGATATCAAAATAACATAAGTAATTGAAGATGGTTTCCAACACCACGTAGCTTGATCAGGGCATTTCGATTAGCGAAATTATCTGACCTTTTCACAACAAAGCAATCGTGGGCCACAGGACCATTAGATTCCTCAGCAAAGGACGAAACAACCACAAAGATGGGAAAATATAAACGAACGGGGAAACTTGAAGCAACCAAACTTGAAAACGACCTCGATGCGTACAGTGCTGATTTAAATGAACCGGACAAAATGCGTTAAGCTTGAAATTTAAAACGCGTTTTTCTCCAATTGGGTTGAGTTTAGGTGAAAACTTATGAAGACAAAACTTACTTAAAATTTTAGCAGAATCAATATGGTTTAATTTGTTTTGCAAAATTCGGGCCCAAAATCTACCCCCAAAAATGGGTCATTTTGACTTTTTTTAGATAATCAAAAATTACGCCAAAAACACCCCATCGATCACAGATATGATTATATCAAAGTGAACCACTTACGTACCCCAACAAACTTGAAAGGGTATATTCTTCAAAACATTGTAAAAAATCATATTTTTTTGTTTGAGAGACAAAAAAGGTCGTTTTTACTTTATAAAATACCAATTTTTTATTTAAAACAATTTTTTAACGGTTTGCAAATTTGTTTTGGAGAATATACCCTTCTTAAAGTTTGTTACGCTACGTAAGGGGCTCACCTTTATATAATCATGTCGGTGATCGATGGGGAGTTTTTGGCGTAATTTTTGGTTAACTAAGAAAAGCCAAAATGATCCATTTTTGGGATTAAATTTTGGGCCCGAATTTTACAAAACAAATTATACCATATTGATTCTGCTGAAATTTTAAGCAAGTTTTGTCTTCATAAGTTTTCACCTAAACTCAACCCAATTGGAGAAAAACGCGTTAAATTTCAAGTTTAACGCGTTTTGTCCGGTTAATTTAAATCAGCACTGTAGTATGTAGTATGTCGATTGAGGAACGTGAAGACCGAGCATAAGACGCCAGGCTATTGTGATCTATTAAGACAGCGCTGCAGATGAAAATCCAATTGTTCATGGATGCCGAAGAAAAGATGGCAGTATTAACAGAGGAAGCCGAAGTTTGTTTAAAATTGGGTACAGGAGAAGATGAACTTAGAACATTTGGATTGCTCCCCCAAGTGGAAACTTAAGAAAATTAAAGAAAAGCAGCCGAATAGAACGTTTAAAGCAATTTTTGTGTGTTACACTAGCAAAAAGAGCCTTTATATTGTCGTATTTGGATTCCCTACCTTTTGCATGTGTAATTGAGAGGGGATGGGATCTGTTTATATGGACTATCTCTTACAATTTTGGGATCTCTTTAATTTATTCTGCCCAAAACTCCAAATTTCGAGGTTCTGTAGTATTCTATGTACAAATACAGAGACCAAAACACTGAACGCATTGATTCATTTTGTTAATACAAATGCTACAAATGTTAATTAATCGTTAGATACTCGATTGACCCTGATGTTCACACACAACAGCTCATTAAGTTTATGAGTTATGAACAGTCGTGATAGCATAATAATTGATAAAGTAAAATAGTTTTTACTTGCCTGTATACATTTTTTTAAAGTTTATTATTTACTCTTGTGACATTTTAGATTACGAACTTAGCAAGCAAGCAAGGTGCTCACTTACATAGAAGTTTCCACTTTGCAACGGCAAGGACATGAAGTTCGACTAACTTCCTCGAAGTTTTCGTTAAACGGTCGCATTGATTTAAAGCATCGGCTTTTCGATAAGCCTGAAATGTTGAATCAGAAAAACCGCAGGTTTTTTGCCTTGCATCGCGATTAACTTAACTGCATTATCAAGTTCGAGAAAGCGTTGTAAAGTATAGCTTAAAGAACAGGAATTACCAGCTTTGATTGCATGGAGCAAAACCACTCGAATAGTATAAAACTCTGTTTAAACAGAGTTTCAACTAACGTTTGTTTTGACTAGCATGGATTTTTAACACAGTTCGGTTTATAAATTCTGGGCCTTTATTTCTCAGAAATCCATTTCAGCGTATGACACACCCGTACCCAAGGATTTTTTGTGCAAGATCTGAAATTCTTTATTTCTTACATACGTTGTTTTTCAGATCTGAAGTTCTTTATTTCAGATCTTGACAAGAATTTGAAAATTCCGGAACTGAAACTTGGATCTGAAATAGAAAATTTCAGATCTGAAATAACCTTGAAAACAAAATTTCAGATCTGAAATTAGATCTGAGAAACCCTCTGTGAAATTATCACTTATTCATTTCGTGCAAAATATTGAGTTTTTATTTTTTGATGTTTCTGCAATACACAATTGTGTTTAGATTGCCTAGCGGTAAAAAACTTCAGAATAATTTCAAAAACAGTTTTTTTTGAAGCAAAGTTTTCTGTTCAACTATTTAAAAGTTTTCAAAAACAGTTAGAAAACCTATCAAATTGCTCAGTATCTGCTAGTAGCTAGCAGAAGCTATCAAAAACAAAAATATGAGAAATATCAAAAGATTATGTCAGACTCATTGATTTTTCAGATCTGAAATAATAAAAAAAAATTAAATTTCAGATATGAAATAAATTTTTTTCAGATTTGAATTAGCCAAGAAAAACTAATTTTCAGATCTGGTATTAGATCTGAAATAACATATTCATAAAATATCCGAGGGTTATTTTAACAATTCACAATCCATTTCAGACCTGAATAAGAACATTTACTAGATACGGGCAAGCTAACTGCCATATTCAAAATCCTCCAATAACGAAAACATGCTTACCATAAGGAAAATTTTTATCAAACAATTCAATGCACGTATTTTCTGGAAAATTGAGAAAAAAACTCGCAATTTTCAAATATGAAAAATTATGAAAAATTAAAAAAAAACATTTTAAGAAAAAACTGCGAGAGAAAATTAGACTTGACATAAAAATTAATGTTCTTTTTCGAGTCGCACAATGACGTTTATGATCAACACAAAGACATTTTAACTGTGATGCCTCTCGCTGTTTGAGCAGTATGTTTTTTTTTTAAATCTTGGGTCAATTTTATTTGAGACAGAACACAAAAATATATCAGAAAATCTAAAAAGTTTTGATTTGTGGCAAACATCTGCTGGTCATATATGTCCAGTATTTGCATAATATCTATCATTATCCTATTGACTTCGTATAATTTTCAATTTTCATATAATTTTCTGCAAGACAGAATGTTTTTACAATTACATAAAATTTTACTAGGCTATAAAAATACGCTTTATGAGTCTTATGCTAGCGTTATACTACTAAATAACGGTTAATAGGTTTTAAAATAGAAAATAACTGATGCATATTCTTGACCCACATGAAAGAAACCTATATTTTAAACAATTGCTAGATTATTCACAGGATTTGTTTTAGAAATAAAAAACAGCTTGAAAAATTGCATTGTTTTGCGGTCAAAATCTATAACATATAAAAAAAATTTAAAAACAAGTTTTAAAATACGATTTAATGTAATGACCAGCCCGTCTGAATAACTTGCACTTTCATGAAACAATTCCTTTTGACATTAAAAAATATACAATGCAAAAAAATTGGCAAATGATTATTCTAGAAAAAAAAACTGAGACTTTGTAAGCCTCAGACTATACGAATTATTTTTTTTTGATTTCCGTGAACAAAAAATTGCAACATGCACAAAAATCGTAACGTCTTGAACGCTCTGACTGTCCCTTAGTTGATCTGAAGTATTTTTTACCGCTAATTTTCAATATGAGCTCAACCCGGGAATCCCCCCTAAGTGACCAACCGTAGAGTTTCCCCCCAGCCACGTAATAAATTTGAAAACAATTTTTTTATGTTTTCAAGTAGCATAAACTCAAGCTGCAAATTAGTGACAGCCACAGCAGCGCCAACGTGTTGCGAGCTTGCCAACAAAGGGTAGGACTCTCTATACAAAATTTAGAGCCGGTTATCGCCGCAAAGTGGCAACGCACTCGTAGCGGCGACCTTAAGTTGAGACTCGTCTAATTTAGTCTTTTGACCAATTGAAAAAATTTGGGACTAGTGCAAATGCTTTTTCTTATTTTGGAAACTATGGGATCTCGGAATACGGGACCTTTTTCATTTTAGGACCTAGGAATACGCAACAGAAAAAGATTTGAAGCTGGGAAAACGGGTTCAGGACAACAAGCCGGCAAGATTTTAAGCCGAAAGGACTTGAGGCCAAAATTTGCTCTTGATAAGCACCTCAAATCACTAATTTTTTTTATCTGTAAAACGTTGTTTTTCAAAAAGTTAGGCTAGTTTATTCCACAATAGGCGCTATTCACGATAATGCGCCAGTTAGGATTGGCATCCGGTACTAAAATCAGGCGGCTTTAAAAATGCTTTCTTAAATATCATTTGGAGGCTTTATTTTATGAAAACGCCAATAACTAGTGAAGCAAGGTCGTGAAGAGGAGAAAACCTTCAAAAATTTTTAAAAATAATCATGCCTCATGACTTTATGAGAAAGTAAAAATATTCGGCTTGAAACCCTAAGTTTACGATTCGGCTTGAAATTCCGTCGGCTTGATCTCCAGCACCTGGGAAAAACAATAGATCACTTGTGAGAGTTTGCGACATCAATTTTAAGCCTAAAAATTTATTTTTGTTAAAAAACAAAATGGATCAAAAAGTAGGTAATTGTGAAACTGACATATAAAAAAAACAAATTAAGGATTATTTCTGAGATGCCTTGCGCTATTGTGAGCCAAGAGTTATCAAGTTTAAAATTTAGCAACATTTTTTAACAAACTCAACTATTCTTTGCGCGCCCATTTAGACGCACATTCAATAAGCCGAAACGAAACACTTACGCAATTCACTCTAACCATGCAAAATCTTCTAAATTTAAATTTATATTCAAGTCGGATCAACCGAATAATTCCCCCCCCCCCCCCTCCCAAATCGATTTAGGGGGGGTTTGCTGTTTCATCGCTGAAAATTGGCTTATTTTCAGCGATGAAACAGCAAAAAAAATCTATAAGAATGAGCAAATTTCATAAGTTTTAGCGATGATTTTCTACGGAATCATTACTGAAATAACTCTGCAACAAACTCGGAATTACACATGAGTCATCGCTAGAAAATAGCGATCGCTGGGAAACTACAGAAAAAGTGATAAATAACGGTGGGACTTCAACCCGGGTTGTACGGTTAATCCTTCAAATCGACTTTTGAATGCCAACTGGAGTTATATCTATTAGCCGTTTTTTTGGGATTCAACCAAACGTGCGATCTGAATTCAGAAAAATCAAAATAGTTTGCTAGTAATGATTTTTTGTCAATTCGGTCTGTTTGTGTTAAATGTTAAAACCGGCGGTTAATTTTAAAAGGATCATTTTAACTATTACACACTCTATGGTACCAGTAAAGAATTGCAAACCCAATAAAGAATTCAACGGTAAAGCTTATGAGATCTTTGTACCTAATAATGAATCTCCCCTTTTGCTAAAGGGGCAATAGTTACAGAGGTGTTTTAAAAGTCTCGGAATTATAACTAAATACTGAGTTTCTGAACAAATGAATCAATCAATTTTTTGAACAAAATTATGTTGAAAGTGTACTAACGCTCCATGAACGGTTGTAGCATCATTGAGCCTCCAGCTTCCAAAGAGTCCCCTAAACACACGCAATAAAATTTTCAAAGTTCTTCTCAAATAGACGAAAATCTTTTTTTTTGATTCCAACAAACACCAATAAAGAGGTAGTTTAATCAAATCATTTGTCGAAATGGGCGTTTTTGAAATTTTTATACAAGAGTTTCTGGCAAAAAAATTCAAGTAGATCTTGCAAAAGCAACCTGATCGAGGTAAAAACAACAATATCAACGGACAACTTGTTTGTAATTTTGTTGAAATTCTAGGTTTTTTTGCAAAAAACCTTAATCAGCGCCTGAGAGTGTTTGCTGAATGAAGTCAAATTGAAAGTGTGAAAAAAATATGTTTTTTTTTTGTATTTTCGAGAAATTTAGCTGTTCCTTCTAGTTTTGCTTTCTTCCAATGGCGCGCGTTGCACCATAGCAATTTACAGCACCCCATTGGCGTTAGCTAGCAAGGGGGCTCAGCGATCAACATATATGCCTATTAAAACGCTCGAATTTTTTAAATAGGTGCTTTTGTTTAGTGAAAAAAATCACCTGATTCGTTAGGAAAATAAACTTTCGTTTTGTCTAACATTCGATTATAAACACGCTATATGAATATACAAGTTTTAGTAAATATACACCGACGCAGCGAGCTAGTCAACTGCGTGGCGCTCCTCTGATGAAAAGATTGAATGGATTGAAAGGAAGGATTAAAATAGTCAATCAGAAATGAATATTCAAAGTTCTCAAATAAATCCTTTAAATTCTGAAAGTATTCAAAAATATACCGGCCATTAGAGAAGTTAAAGGTGACCGTTATTAAAACAAGACTGATCGTATCAGGGCGAAGCTCTGGATGTTCTGACTGCCTTTTAAGGTTTATGGAGCAGTAAAAAAAATTAAAAAAATAAATTTATTAAAATAAAATGAAATTTTTTTTCTTCTAAAATTTGAATGTTTTTTAAATCATCCCACCACACGCCATATAAAGTACAAAAGGATAAATTTTGTGCCTTGTAATGAATCAATTGTGGCAAATTAGCTTCTTTCAACCAATTTAGAACGATTTCTAAGACGGATTAAATCTCCGCTTACGCATTAATAGCGCGAAATATATCGCGCGTTAATTATCCCAAATTGGCCAAAATGGCAATATTTAAACCCCAATAACTTTACAAAAAATAATCACAGGTGAAAGATCTTTTCAAATTTAAGCTCAGGACAACACTACCTTTTGAGTGATATAAAGAAATTCCGTCAAAAATGGCTAGTTAAAAGTGTACATTTGTCTGAAGAAAAAATACCCACCCCGAGCACAAATATTCCGTTACTTTCATATCGAAAATCGGAACAATAAGTAAATTGCAGATAAATGAAAGTAACGAAATTTTGTCAGTTTTTTGTTGAAATTTTGTCAGTTTGAAGATGCAACGAAGAAAAACTAATTCTTTCAAAAATATCGATTTAAGAAAAAATAAAACAATAGAAAATCAAACAAGAGTGCTCGTATCAGGGCGAAGCCCTGAATGTTCCAACTGCCTTTCAATGTCTATGAAGCAGTAATAACTAGGAAAGTTTAAATGTAACAAAGTATAATTAATTTTTTTTTCTAAAAAGTTTGAGATTTTTTGTGAAAACATCCCCCCACGCGCCATATTAAGTACAAAAGGATAGATTTTGCTCCTATTAACAAATCAATTATGGCATATAATCTTCCTCGAACCAATTTGGAACGATTTCTAAGACGAATTAAATCTCGCTAACGCGTTAATAGCGCGAAATATATCGCGCATTAATTGTGCCAAATTGGCCAAAATGGCCAAAATGGCAACCTTTAAACCCTCATAACTTTACAAACAAAAATGATCACAAGTAAAACATCTTTTCAAGTTTAAGCTCAGTACAACAATAGCTTTCGAATGTTGTAAAATTCCGTCAAAAATGTCTAGTTAAAAAGTCGAAATTTGTCTTAAGAAAAAAAAACCCCACCCCGAGCACAAATATTCCGTTACTTTCTTAGTCAAACAAAAATCAAACCTAAGCGAATTGTACATGCTATGTTTATTTACTATAAATTTTGAAATCAGTTGGGTCTTTTCGGTTATACCCCCCCCCCCCCCCCCCCAATATATGAAAAAAGCAATGGACATTTTTATAATCTAATTGGGACACTGTTCACTGTTACTAGGAAATGCATTATATTTTTATGGAACTGGTAAAACGAACCATTTTAACTTAATTTAGCCTCATACTGACTTTTTTCTCCAAGTCTAGCCAATTTTCTGAGCATAAGTTTCACTGAAAGCTGCTAAATGCGTTTTTAGTTGTCGTTAACTTCGCAATTTTTGCCAGTTTCTATCTTGATTTAACGCTCGGAATATCAGCCCTGCATTTTTAAGGAAAATCAATCAAACTTTGTTACGAAAATTTTTATTTTCCTTTTTTATCCTTAGGGGCAGGGGTATAACAAAAAAACATCAGTTTCGTGCAAAAGTCTTTCAGCGAAGAAGAACATCCAACGGTTCTGATTGGTTGGAATATTTTCATCATTCAGTCCCTCTATCATTAGAAAAGCCCTCGGTCAACTGCATTCTTGTACATGGATATGTTAATCAAAACACATGCTAATAGGCAAGTACCATGAGCTATCAATTGCAGTTAAACTAGAATAGCAAAGAGAGCAACTATGCCGCCGCAACAATTGCGAAAAACGACGAACATTTTATTAAAAATCGTTCATGTGTGAAAAACTATTGAATACGAAAATTAGTAGAGGAAAAAACTAATTCTGACAAATGCGAAAAATTTCTGATGTTTTTTCACCAGTTTCAATTCAAGAAAAACTGGGAACTTTTTTTGGCAAATCAAGCAAAAAGTTGGCGGCATCGCTAATGCCTTTTTAGGGATGTACAGAACCTTCATTTGCTTTTTTGTAAGAGAGCCAGAAGAAATAATCAATTTTTGATTTTAAATGCAACTGAGGGGCGAACTGAAATCAAAAAAGGCGAAAATCGAACGGCGCTCGTAGGCAGACTAAAGAACGGAGGTTGGTAGCCCCTTATAATAAACAACTAACTTTTTGCACACATCTTACTTGTAGCCAAACTGAAATTCTCCTCAGGAAGAGAGTTTGCATCAGAGAATGGTAGGCCTGTTTGGTTTTCCTGCTCAAAAACCAAAAGGGTAGCTTCATCAAGTGAAGTATCGTGTCCTGAAATGAACAAGCGATAGGCGATAGTTCGAGAACGATACCAATTTAAACTAGTCGATTTCTAGAAAGTTAACTAAAACTAAGTTGATTCACCATGAAGAATAAGTTACTTGGTTTCCTCGTGAAAAAAAAACAAAGTATATGCCAATATCAATACATACGTTCTATGCAAGGTCGCAGCATCCCCGAGTCTTCTGCGTCCAAAGAGTCCCCTAAACTCAAGCACATTAGAAACTCTGTCGGTTTCAAACGTGTTGCTTGCCATGATTTTATTGAATTTGTGTGAAAATGGGATCGATTGAATCGCAAGGAAATGAGCGTTAATAGCGGTGGTCTTCACAGAATTTTTAACAATGATGCAAATAATTAAAAAGACAGACAAAAAATGCCGTTTTGGGGCATTTTAAAAAAAGTTTTCACTAATATTTAGGATTTTTTTGAGCCTTCCAAATCCAAATTATTGGGTTTTGGCTTTAAACGCGCCTTTAGTGAAATTTTTAGATTGTTCAACCAAAACTGGATGTCTTAGCTTGAGTTGTACGCTTAATAAATATGTAGAAACTAAGAGAAGTGAAAAAAAAAATTGTTTTTTTTTTGTGTATTAAATTGTTAACAAAATAATCGATTCCCATGTTGCCCTCAGACAGCAAATTGCAGAGAACAATCGATTTAATCCATTGTTTTATTAAATGTTTGTGTTAGTAATTCTAATAAACTAAAATCAATTAATATGGTTCATTTCCAGATTTTTTTGTTTCGCGTTGTGCAAAATTTTGAAAAATGTCTTTATTTATTTATGTTTTGCAAAAAGAGTGTACGACGTACTCGACTTCCAAAGATTAACTTTCTCAACTTGCAAAAAAAGTTCGCGCCCATCACCCAGTTTGCACCCATCTTTAATTTAAAACGGGGAAACGACTCTTTTTACGTGGAAAATCGCTTCTCATTGAAGTGAAAAAAGTCGAAGATCTATAAAAGTGAAGAATGATTGAATGTAATTCGTCTGCAATATATTTTTGTGCTTTTTTAAACATTAACAGCATAATTTATTTTTAGTTGATCATAACCATTTCATTTTTTCACTTCTATAGACACTGTACTGTCATAAACTCATTTTTAATCAATCTTTATCCATGGCACTCCAGTGTGGGAACAAACTCACCTTCCGGATAGTGCTCTATTGCTTCCAGGTTAAAACTCTTCTCAGTAGGATCATTTTTCTCTGAATTTTGGTTGCCTGCCTGTGTTCCCAACATAGCACCAGTGGTCACAGTTTTTTCAACTTCGGCCTCATTAGAAATCGCAGTCCCTAAAATTACAAAAACCATCAGGAAGCAGTTAAATCAAACTATAACAAATATATAAATATTACTGTTCAAAGGGGTTCAAAAGCCGCTATATAAAACACCACATTTGGTAACTCAGTGATTTTACGGTTGTGTATGAAGACTTTAATAGTTTTTTGTTCTACATTCGAATGATTGAATGACTTTTGGTCCAAAACTATGCGCAAAAAGTGGTTTTGTGAACTGTAAAACCAATCATCATGATGTTTGATCCACAAAAATTTCGTTTGCCACGTTTTTGATTGCCAGATTTCTTGCCAATAAACATCAAAACTGAGTCAATATTAAAAGCGGAAGAAATTAGTTTCGCCCTGAAAAAAATTGCAGTACAGAAGAAAATAGACATTTGATTAACAGAAATATCTTTTTGATATATTAAGCAGAAAATTTTTGAAATTTAAAAATGTTTTTGGTTACCAAAATGGT